GTAGGTTAGCTAAAGTTAGAAAATTTCCATGTGTTTAAAATTACATTAGCATAAGTCTAAATTAAACTAGTATTTCACCTATGAATTCCAATTAATTTTATCTTAAATAATATCACAATTTTACATATAAGTATTACAATATCTACCTTAAGTAATGATGACTTACTTTTCTAAAGAAAACAGAGGAGAGAACTTTTGAAAAAGAAAATAGAAAAATAAATTTAAAAAATAAACAAAAATACACTAATTAAACATGCCTTAGTGAACACATAATTAGTCCAAAAAATTAGAACAACTAATTAAAATCAAATCCACTTATCAAAAAGTCATAATATTTTTATAGTGTGAACATAAAATTGCAATTCATGGAAAAATATAATGATAGTAAAAATAAATAAAATTTCACGAGCTGAATTGAATTTGGTGGGAAGATAAAATAATGTGAATGTTAACTACTCATCAAGCAAGTTAAGAGCATCAATATCAGAAGATTATTAGGAGTTTATTCACCGTTTTTAGGATTGATTGCCTACATGGCGGAGAGAGAAGGACAACTCTCCCTGCAAGGTTTGGGTTATTTCTCTTCCAAAGAAAGAGAAATAAATGAAGGCCATGGGTTGCGGTGCGCACTGCAAAAGCCACACGGGCGCCTTCGCCGACGGTCCCTTTTTTATATATATTTTTTAATTTTAAAATAATTTTTGCTTTACTTTTTTTTTTCTTTTTTTTTTTTCTCTCTCCCTCCCCCCCCTAATTCTCTTTCCTAATCACACTTACAAAAACTTTTCAAAAATCACAAAATATCTCTTCTATTATGGATGCTCATAAGCATGCTTGCATGAGAAGTTGAAATGGGGAATGTGGTCGCAGGCCAGGTCAGGTCAGCCTTACATGCATGTGTCACTCAATACTTCATCACCGTGTAGTGTTCACGAGACTTTCAATTTGTACATGATCGGAAGAAGGATTGTCTGCCTGCCTGTCACATGATTTCCTTTTCTTTTTTTTTTGGAAGGAAAAAAAAATATCGATGAGTCTGTAGTACAGTTTGGGAAGATTGGTTTTGATATACACAGAATTTACAAATTGCAGTGGACGAGTTTAAAGTTTTTAAACGATAAGAGGTGATGGAGAAGTTAAAGACTTAGGAAGAGAGGTTCTAGCTAGAGCTATCAATGCGGGCTGGCGGGGCGGGGCCCGCCAAAGCCTGCCTTTTGGCGGGGCGGGCTAAAAAGCCCGCCAAGAATATGGGCTTAGGTAGGGGCAGCCCGCCCCGCCCTCTTTAGGCCCGCGGGCCCCCGCCAAAGCCCGTTTTTTTTTTTTTTTTTATCATGTGTCCTTAAAATCTAAACTCTAATGTGACTATGTTAATAACTTAATTGCTATCTACTTAAAATACTTATTCATAAGAAAATAACATAAATTCGTTTATCACATCATGACAACAATGACACTAATAGGGATAAGTATAATTACCAAAAAATCGATAACCGTATCGGTCGATTATCGGTTATAAGGCAAAAAAAATTTGATTATTCGGCTATTCGGTTATTTATCGGTTATGAAGGTGTAATAATCGCGATCACCGAATAACCGACACTATTATTTATATTATTATATTATAACTTTTAAAAAAAAAAAAAAAGGCGAGCTGGCGGGATAGCCCGCCCCGCCAAGCCCGCGGGCTAAGCGTGGCGGGGTGGGCAAAAAAGTCCGTTTTTAAAACGGGTTCAAAAACACGAGCCCACCCAGCCCTTTTGGCGGGCGGGACGAGAAAGCCCGGCGAGCTAAGCTCATTTTGACGGCTCTAGTTCTAACAAGAATGGTGTATTATTAAGTTACTTTTATTACGTACTCGCATCACCTCTTGTTAGGTTAAGCAGTTTGTTAGCTTATAGATTATTGATTATTTTTATTGTCAAAAATCTTTATTTCCTTACTCAAGAAAAAAACTATTCCTTTTGTTAAAGTCTTTCCTTCGTTGATTATGGCCTGGTAATTTGGTAATCGCTTTTGCACACATTTAATTTGTGTTAGCACACACTTAATCTAATTTAGACCATTAAAATATTAGATGGATGTAAATGATTTGTTCTCATGTTCTCACTGGTATATATATATATATATATATATATATATATATATATATACTTTTTAATGGTAGAATAGATTAAGTATGTGCGAACACGCATTAAATGTGTGTAAACACACTTAATCGCGTTTGCACACATTTAATGCGCGTTCGCACACATTTAATCTAATCTAGACCATTAAAAAATATTAGATGGATGCACACGATTTGTTCTCACATTCTCACCTAAGCAAGTGTTCTCATATGATCTTATATATATATATATATATATATATATATATATATATATATATATATATATATATATATATATTGATGGGGTTGATGATTTTAATTTGGCTGGTGTTATAGTCTTAGCCAATCCATGCCCACTACTAATAGCAGCTAAGAAGCGCTTAAGAAACAGGGAAAAATGCAGACCCACAAGTTAGTGATGATATCTCCTGAAGTGATGAGTCAAACTGCATAACATACAATAGTTGGAATGAGTTAGTGAGTTGCAACCAATTCAATTCCAGTAGAAATAAACAAAGATATATTACCTGTTGTTTATACACTTCTCCACCAAACTTGGAGTAAATAGAAACTGCACGCGCAGTTATCTGCATAAGGAAAAATTTAACAACGTAACCATCATTATTTGTATGAAAGGTGCGTGATTACTGTACTACAGAAGCGAGCTAGTAAACACAAACTTTTTTCCAGTGTGAATTTTTACCCATGGTAACTTTGACTATGAACGGAATGCACTTGTCATAGTACCTAAAAGTTTCTTTTTCGCAGTTCTTTGTATTCACACGAGCACACTTTGAGTTAATATTGAAAATTTTAAAAAGTCTATTCAACCCCTCCCCCTCAAAAAAAAAAAAAAAAAAAAAAAAAAAAAAAAAAAAACTTCTAGACTTTTTAGCATGATCGGGACCAACAAGTGGTATCAGTGCAATTGTTCGATTAAAACAAGTGGTATCAGAGCAGTTGTTTGATTAGAACAACTGCTCTGATATCACTTGTCCCTACCTTCTAGACTTTTTAGCTTACTTGGGACCAACAAGTGGTATCAGAACAGTTGTTCAATTAGAAAAAGATGTATTAGAGTAGTTGTTCGATTAAAACGACTGGTCTGATATCACTTGTCCCCACCTTCTAGACTTTTTAGCTTGCTCGGGACCAACAAGTGGTATCAGTTTGAACAATTGCTCTGATACCACTTGTTAATCCTGAGTAAGCTAAAAAGTCTAGAAGGGTGGTTGAACAGACTTTTTAACTTGCTCAAAGCCAATACAAATCATAACTAATAACATGCAGTTTGTGATTGCTGAAATCTTCTATTAGAACAGGAAATAAGTTGTTTATAATATACATCTTGCAAATAAGGACACAAGTATTTTGAGAATTCAGCAACTGCATGAATAGTTGCCCTGCCGAGCATTGATTGTAATATAGACTTAAACTGTGCAACAAAGATCTAATGTTGTACTTTGGATAACACAATCATCTCGTCAAGAACATCATATGTAAGATAGTCATTGAAAACAATATCATTCAACTCGCCTGATCATTTGGGTCAAAAACTAGAATAAGCATCTTCACTAGATGGTGTAACTAAATGCAAAATCAATTTTACTGCGGTCGCAACAATTGCGGCTCTCACTCTTCTTTCGTTTCCATTATTATGATCCATTAAATTCTGAAATCCATCACACAAAACATTAATAAAGGAACTAAAAATATCAGGGTATTTGGGGATTAGTTCTACCAGAAAGATACCACATGCCGCGTTAGGAGAAGATAAACATTCTAATATGACTGTCACCACTTATGACCATTCATTTTAGGTTAAAGTATACCACCCAATTTTGAAATGCAAGTGCACTGAATTTTGAGCGCTGACCTGTTTGTTTCGTTTTGAAGAAGCTTCACGAGGATGTCCCTGATTTGGTGTTGAAGTTTGGGGATGATCAAAGGCTATCTGTCCACAAAAAATGGGAGAGAAGCATTGAACAACTAATTTTGATATTTGGACGATTGGGAAGACATGCGTCTAATACTTTGGCCAGCAAGCCACAGGAGGCCCCATAAACTCCTTCATGGTACCCTTGAAGAAGGAGTTAGCTAGGAAGGATACATCTTTATCATCCGAGAAGATGTCATCCAAAAGGTCATAAAATTGGTTTGGGTGTCTATTTAGAGGAGACCCAATAAACATTTGTAGTCATTGTCAACAAGTTTAAGAAAGAACTTAGACCCCATTGTCGAAAACACTACAAAGCTTTCGAAACTGTGCAAGAAAGAACCGAGGTTGAACTCTAGCTTACAGGTTATTAGTTATGATTTGTATTGGTCCCGAGCAAGCTAAAATGTCTACAAACAAGCGGTATCAGAGCAGTTGTTCGAATCGAACAACTACTCTGATACCACTTGTTAGTCCCGAGCAAGCTAATAACCTGTAAATTGTGTGCTCGTGTGAATAAGAGTTATGTGGTTAGTTGCATAGTAATAATAATAGCAATAAAAGTAAAATGCAAGATTTTTTTTAAATGGTTCGGCAAGAAAACCAAAGATAAGCTTATGGTATTATGAATCTTATATAGTATTATGAATCTTATATAGCGAGCTTGAGACTTTCGTTGCATGCAAATGTATTTCTTTAACTTTGTTTCAGCTCATTTTGAGTTAATATTGGAAAATTTAAAAAGTCTATTCAACCCATCCCCCTCCAAAAAAAAAAAAATTCTAGACTTTTTAGCTTGCTCGGGACCAACAAGTGGTATCAAAACAATTATTCGATTAAAATGAGTGGTATCAGAGCAATTGTTTGATTAGGTGACTTTTTGTTGCTTTTTACAAATTCACAAAAGTGGCGTTTGTTTTGCCTTGCTTTGGGCTTGATTCTATTGCTATTGGCTCCAACGGTCAATAGTTGGATTTCCATCTATTATAGCAGTTCAATGATGATTGGAGTTTGTCTTGTTATTATAATCATCATCTTCTAGGTACTTTTATTTTCTGCTTCCACATGTGTTTGATTTGGATCATTCTTCTCAGATTTTCACCATCTTAGTTTGTCTTTCGCAATTGTTTACAAATGTCATATAAATAGACTATTTAGTGCATCTATCTTATATCTTCTCTTTTATTAGCTTTCAATGATTTGGTAATGTGGCTCATTATCATTATTGCTTCAATGTCCAGGGAATGAAATTACTACCAACTGGCAAAAAAAAAAATGTGTTCTAACTATATATGGATCAGTGGTTAGTCCATCTTTACTTTATAAGATTTATTTTTTGGATTTTCAGATTTTATAATTCAAGTGATCACCAGTCACTAACAGTATATTTTATCTGCATTGTAATGCAGCTTGGAGCAAGATTATATTTGCTACATCACTTCTCAATGATGGTCAATTTCGTTCTTTTAAATTTTGGATTTGATGAAGAGTTAGTAACCATGTAAGTGTTTTATCTGCAAGATTAATGTTACATTTAATTTATTGGATGGTGTTATCGATTTACTTGTCTTACTTAATTCTTAATAACATGAGAACCTTGCAGGTTTTTGTATTTCTTCTAGTTTGAATTATCTTTGCCGGAGCTGGTATGAGATATTGGCTTGTGATGAAGTATGTTATTTCAAATAATGGAGGTGTGAATGCTGGGGTGGCTCAATTTGTAAAATGGGACATTAATGTTATTGAAATCACTTTTATCTTTCAAGTATTAAGAAATTTTAGTTTTTTTTTTTAATCCAAAAGATCAGCGAGATGAATGATATTGTTTCCAATGACTATCTTATATAAAGTTCTTGACTGATCAATAGGTTATTAGTTATGATTTTAATTGGTCCTTAACAAATTAAAAAGTCTATTCAACCCCCCTTCTAGACTTTTTAGCTTGCTCGGACCAACAAGTGGTATCAGAGCAGTTGCTCGATTCAACGTGTGGGACAGGCCACTACCAATGACAGCTAAAAAGAAGCGCTTAAGGAACAGCGAAAACTGCAGACCCACATGTTGACGATGATATCTCCTGGAGTTGATAGTGGGTTACATTGTTGTTGTCATTTAGAGAGACAAGAAATGTGTTAGATCCGAGAATGAAAAGTCGATTTTTCCCTTCATATAATTATTTCTGTTTTTTATAATACTATTTTTGTCGATTTAGGGTTCATTATTTAAATCTGTTCTACCAAAAAGTTTAATTTCCAGAAATCTCCAAATATAAGTACAGTTAGGGTTAAATCTGAAACCCTATAATTAAAATTATATGGTTTATTTCGTATGTTTATCTAAGCCCTCTCTTGTGTCCTATTATTGATAAGCCTTTTAGTTTTACCTTTCTCAGATTTTGAAATAAGAAAAAGAGTAGAGTAGTGTATAATTTTTGCCTAGGTTGGAAAACCACTTATGAATAGAACATAGAAAAAATGCTACATGTACTCTCATTTTGTAGTCCTACACACAAAACTTATGTAAATACTTGTATTGAGACCCACATGAAAAAAATAACTTATCACAATACACACTGAATAATGTAGAGTTCCAAAAACTAATTAATAAAAATATTTAGTTAGTGAAATGTTAAAACGATGTAGTGTTTATTGAGCAGGAAAATGCCATAATTTGATTGGCCAATGCATGGCTTTATTATATAGAAGGATTGTATGTTTATTTTCAGAAAAAATGAACCAAACAGAAGAAAATAAATTTTTTTTTTAACATTCAGCTAAACACCAAAAAAATTAAAATGTTTTTCAAAAAATGAGCCTTCTGAAATTCATTTTCGAGAAAATATTTTTCATGTTTCCAAATATACCCTAAATGTATGACACAGTAAGTGAGGAGGAAAGATGAAATTTGCTCTTATTTTAATCTCATCCCATCCTCCTAGAAACACTCCCAATAATTATACCACGAAATAGGATTAACATTGCAGTGTGTACCCTGGTGCATGTGTATAAAACATTTTTGTGTTTTGTGTCTTAAGAGTATGAATTTTGTAGTTGAAACAAATTAGTAATTGTGTATTTATGTTATGAATTTTTATATTTTGTATTATGAAATTCTATATCTATGAACACAAATTATATATCTAAATTAAATTTAAAAAATAAATTATAAAATTTTGTATCGTAGGAATATAAATTTTGTATCTCATTATTTTAATTCAAAATTGATTATAATGTTATATGCACTCTTATCTATGATATAAATTGCCAACCACTTTAACCTCGGCCTTTTTCCAAACGGGTCCAAAATGACTTTTGTCCCCAACAGTCAAACCCGCACTAACTGTAAAAAACACAAAATGATGTTTGCTCAATCTCTCGGCAATATATCGCGAGAAAAAGGGCATCGGTGGGGGCCAGCCTCCGGTCCACGACCAGCCACCACTCCCACCAGGCCACCAGTGGACAGAAGGGCGTTTAGGGGTAGGGGTAGGGGTAGAGGGGGTAGGGGAGTGTCTGTTTTCTGGAATAATAATTGCAGAGAAAGAAAGCTTCATTTATGTTTTCCATAAACGCAAATCCAATAATATTTACAGCGGATCAATTATAGGAGAAGGCAAAGAAGCTTCTTTTTAGATTTGCTTCCACTCCCACTCTACAAATTTCTTTAAGGTACTGCTCACTCACTTCTTCTTCTTTCTCATAAATATTCAATTTTTAGTTCTGGAATCACCAAAAACTCAAAAAAGAGTCTACTGGATACGTGGTCTTGTATATATGTATATGTATGTATTAATTAAAGTGGGTGCTTTAGTATGCAAGGGCTGAGCTGAAATCTAATCTTGATTTTGATTGGATGTAGAGGTTTTGATTTTTTTTAAGGGTTAATGGGTTGAAAGCCAAGTTGGGTTAGCTCGGATTTGTGCTTTTGCTATGTATTTGGTGTTTTCTTGTAACAACTCAGTGGCACTAATGAAGTTTGAATCTTTGAGAGGAAATCTTGCAATTAAGTACTTAGTTATTGTCTATGCTAGTTCTTTATAAATGGGAAACTTGTCAAATGAACTTACTGCTTTCCCTCACAAAAAGCTATATTCATGGTGATTTCTGGATTTGCCTTTTGGTCCAGTAGAGAAATGGGATGTCTTGAGTCTAACAGTTCACTGATGTCTGTGTATTGGCTTAGCACATAGCATTTCAAAAAGGAAAAGTCTTTCTTAATGTGATGTAAAAAGGAGTTAAAGCCTTTAAGATTAATACACCTGAAGAAATTTTATAAGCCTTTCAAATGATTCTTGGTGGTTTAGAAAGTTCATCTTCAAGAATTTAATCATCATTGCATATTGGTAGCTAACCAATGTATTATGGCTTGTTTGTAACCTCTTCTAGTTTCTTAAACAAATGAATCAATAGTTGATTTCAATAAATTCACCTAACGAGACAAGTTTAATTAAACAGCAAAATATAAAGAAGTCACAAACTATGGTTAATTACAACAAATACTCAAAATTACCTACAGAAATGTCGAAAAGTGGTTAGCCTTAGTTGCCTCCATATGTGCCACACTGCCACTGCCTACCATGTGTTTGAGAGACAGAAAGAGATATGAGACGATAGAATTTGGAAAGTAAGCACATAAATAAATAAATATGCAGTGGCAATATATATGCCGGCTAGTACTATTTTGCAAATGGGAATTTGGTTGATAGACATTAGCATAGCTAATCTTCTTGTCCTTTACCCATGTGGAATGCATATCAATTTACTGAATCTGCCCTTTTTCTTGAGTGGCAACATGCCATCTTAATCATATTAATTAATTTGACTGATTACTTATCTTTTGTGACAACTTAATTCATACCTAATCTCATTGTCCCTTTTACCCACATGTGGAATGCATGGCAATGAATTGTTAATCTTCCTTTTTTCTTGGGCGGTACATTGCCATCTTGTTCATTTTCATTCATTTTTCTAATTTCTTATATTTTTTGACAAATTTCCCATGCATCATTGGTATACTTTGCAGTTAGTGTTCATTCATGCACTTCGGAAGATGGTGTCCTATGTTGCTTCAATAACCGGAAATTAGTAAAGCATCAAAAGCAGCTTCTTAAGAAATGGAGTTGTTCTATGCAGCACTAATTTTGACATGTTTTTTCTCTTTAGTGTCACCTGATGGCCAAGGTATCATGCTATTTTGATCTCTTTTCTTTTTCTTTTTTTTTTGGGTGGTCGGTTTAAGAAGTTGGTTCAAAATGTCTGTCCTGATTAGCCCAAAGAAAACAACAAACTCTACTTGTAGTGCACTAGTGCTTTTTACACTATTGGTTCCCTTTATTTTAGGAGATGCACTGTATGCATTGAAGGGGTCACTAAATGCATCAAGTGGTCAGCTCCCAGATTGGAATGAGAATCAAGTTAATCCGTGCACTTGGTCAAAAATTACATGTGATGATAGTTACAATGTCATCATGGTGTAAGTGACGTGTTGATACTATACTTCTTTCATTTATGTTCATAAACATGTTAACTTAATATAATCTCTTTCATCTTAAAATGTTTGCAGGTCATTGTCTAATATGGGATTTTCAGGCACTTTATCTCCAAAAATAGGAGCTTTGAGGACACTTACTACACTGTATGTGCTTGGAACAAAAAAGTGTTTAATTGCTAAGCAATGTGATTTGGTTACTTGTGCATTTTATTTACCTCAAGTCCTCGTACTATTTATGTCATTACTGTCACTACGTAGAAATTTGTTTATGGCATTTCCAATCTTGTTGATCAGTTAATCTTATGACAATCTTAATTCTTACTTTCCTTTGAGAGTTAATACCATCTGAGGTCCTCTGAGTATAGTGGTTTTGTCACGTTTAGTCCTAAACTTTCAAATTGACCACCCGTGGTCCTTCGAATTTCAAATTGTTACCATCCGTGGTCCAAGTTAACCACACATGGTTCTTCAACTATCAAATTTTAACCACCCATGGTCCTTCTTGGAAGGACCATGACTGGTTAAATTTTGGAAGTTGAAGGACCATGGGTGGTTAACTTGGACCACGGATGGTAACAATTTTAAAATCGAAGGACCACATGTGGTCAATTTAAAAGTTTAGCACTAAACGTGGCAAAATCACTATACTCGAAGGACCTCGATCATATGGCATTAACTCTTCCTTTGAGTACCAGTTTCCTATCAAGTGGTTTATACTTTATAGATCGGTAGATCACATCTATTTATTATGTAGTTCTCTGCAAGGAAATGGCATTACTGGTAAGATTCCCGAAGAAGTTGGAAATTTGACAAACTTGACAATGTTGGACCTGGACAATAACCAATTATCTGGAGAAATACCACCTTCCCTTGGCAATCTCAAGAAGCTCCAGTTCTTGTAAGCAATATTATACATCTTTTAAGCTTTACATGCATTAATGGTATTTCTTGTATGGACACTTAACCGTGTTCCAAAAAGCAGGTTCTTGAGTCAGAACAATCTCACTGGGACAATCCCCCAATCTCTTTCAAGCCTCCCAAGTTTAACTAACCTGTGAGTTATTTATCTTGTTTGACAGTTAATAACAATGAGAATCATTTGTTGTAATGGAGAATTCTGGAGTTACTTATGAACCTGTAATGGGCAATTGTTTACTTGGCTTTCTTGAGATGGTCTTTGCAGGCAGCTCGATTCAAACGGTCTTACTGGACAAATACCTGAGCGTTTATTTGAAGTCCCCAAATACAAGTACGCCATTATAATCATTTTTTGGGATAGTTAAATAATTAAAATCTGCTTGTCAACATGAATTTAGCCTCTTCTTTTCGTGTCCTTAATGTTCATATTGAAAAATTGATTCTTTGTTCTAGTTTTACAGGTAACCATTTGAACTGTGGCTTCAATTCCAGCCATCGATGTGAATCTGACAATGGAGGTAATTATGATTATAATGCATTTATATTTCCAGATAAGGAGCTTTATGTCCATAATATACATTACATTACTTGTAAATCTATATATTTCTCATGTTAAAGCAAGCTTCAGCATATAGAAGGAAAACGTTCATCCATATGCACAGTGTCTGTCCTTTCTGTGATGATGTTGCTTTATCTTGGCAGGTGCTTCAAGTAAATCAAAGACTGGAATGGTTGCTGGTATTGTTGTTGGATTTTCGGGTTTTGTTCTTATTGTAGGTTTACTGCTATTTTTCTTCAGAGGCCGACATAAAGGCTACAGGCGTGAGGTCTTTGTAGATGTTGCAGGTTTGTGTCAATTCTGTCTTGTTCATTGAATTAGGAGGGGCATAGCATTATGGCTTTTATAGCCGTATCTTTTTATTCTTGATTTGAAAAATCGATATTAGTATTAGAATAAAATACTTATGTTTTTTAATATCTAGAAGCAATGCCAACGCCATATATATATATATATATATATATATATATATATATATATATATATATATATATATATATATATATATATATATATATATATATATAGGGTCAGGTTCCCGTGCGGCCACTCACCATTAGGTATGCATAAATGCACCACAAAGTGTTCGGAAATGCACCATTAGGTGTGATGCGGTGTGGTGCATTTCCGAGCACTGTGTGGTACATTCTTGCACCTAGTAGTGAATCCGCACGGGAATCACTATCCGCATTTGAACCAGTATTTATATATATATATATATATATATATATATATATATATATCTTAATGTTGATTTGGCCTATGCATCAATTTGTAAACATTTCCCTCAAACTTTAATAAAATATCCTTCATTTTTCTTGATGGTTTCTGGGTTTGAATGTTCAGGAGAAGTTGACCGGAGAATTGAATTTGGTCAATTAAAAAGATTTTTATGGACAGAATTGCAAATTGCTACAGACAACTTCAGTGAAAAGAATGTACTTGGACAGGGAGGTTTTGGGAAGGTTTACAAAGGTGTGCTCCCTGATAATACAAAGATTGCTGTTAAACGGTTAACGGACTATGAGAGTCCCGGTGGAGATGCTGCTTTCCACCGTGAAGTTGAGATGATAAGTGTGGCTGTTCACAGGAATCTCTTACGGCTTATTGGCTTTTGTACCACTCCCACAGAGCGCCTTCTGGTATACCCCTTTATGCAGAATTTAAGTGTTGCCTATCGTTTACGAGGTAAGAAACCGATGGTTATTCATGAAGTAAATGGGAAAAAATATATTTCATTTGATCTGATAAGCTGTGGATACAATTTCAGAACTTAAACCCGGGGAGGCTGTTCTGGATTGGCCTACAAGAAAGCGAGTGGCATTGGGTACTGCACGTGGACTTGAGTACTTGCATGAGCATTGTAATCCAAAAATTATTCACCGGGATGTTAAGGCTGCGAACGTATTATTAGATGAAGATTTCGAAGCTGTTGTTGGGGATTTTGGGTTGGCGAAGTTGGTAGATGTTAGAAAGACGAATGTTACGACTCAAGTACGTGGTACAATGGGCCATATAGCTCCTGAGTATTTGTCTACCGGGAAATCATCAGAAAGGACCGATGTTTTTGGCTATGGAATCATGCTTCTAGAGCTCGTAACTGGTCAACGTGCAATAGACTTCTCTCGCCTTGAAGAAGAAGACGATGTGTTATTGCTCGATCATGTAAGTTGGCAATGTTATTCACCTTTCCGTTCGTTTCTCATTGCAAGACTAAAGAATTGTCTTTTTACCCAAACCAAACATACTTGCCTACTTTCAGAAATGAACTTAGAGTTTTTTTTTAGTACTATTGACTCTGTTACAATGTAGTATCTGTTCATAGCTACATGAACTTGGAGTTTAATTCGTATAACCAGTGTTATCTGGTCTTCTAGTAACAGTTGATGAAATACATGCATTTTCCATCTCAAAGGTGAAGAAACTGCAAAGAGAGAAGAGGCTACATGCTATTGTAGACCGCAACCTAAACAAGAACTACAACATCGTAGAAGTAGAGATGATGATTCAGGTCGCGCTACTGTGCACCCAGGCATCACCTGAAGAACGTCCCGCAATGTCAGTGGTAGTAAGAATGTTAGAAGGGGAGGGACTTGCGGAGAGGTGGGAAGAGTGGCAACACGTCGAAGTAACCCGTAGGCAAGAATATGAGAGGCTGCAGAGACGATTCGATTGGGGTGAAGACTCGATATATAATCAGGATGCCATCGAGTTATCCGGTGGAAGATGACATTGGGAGAAAACTCCAAGCAAGTGTACAATTCCTTGTATTAGTTTTGCCTGATTTGTTATTATAGTGTATGTATTTTCAACTTTCAATTAAATAGTGTGTAATTGTTTCTTACCTTCTTCTTCACTCATGTTAATCTCATTGTACTAATTCACTTGATTGTATATTTTTTTTTACACAAGAAATTGGAAATATTTGGTACTTTACATGAATGAATGAGGATATAATTGTTCAAAAATTGAATTGAAACTGCCAATGATCTTGTGGTTTAATGGCATGAAGTAGCTTTCCCAAATGGGATGTATGAGTTTGAGCTCCAATAGGGTAGTATTGACTCTTTACGCTTTTGTCACAACAACTTTCCCTCTAACACCACAATTCTTGCATACACGACAACCCTCCATATTCTGAAGTTATGTAATAAAAATTCTCTAATTCCTAACAAAACTAATTTAAGAAGAAAAAAAAAGGTTGAATAACTAAGAAAGAATAAGGCAATGAATTGCATTCTTGTTCTGCACGTTTAATAGAGAGCTACTCATTCCAACTAGAGCTGGCAATACGGCCGGCGGGCAGATTGAAGAGACAGCGCCGACTGGCGTTGAGAGGCGCGTCGGCGATTTCGACAGTCGTGACTTGTGAGGTGAGGGAGAAAGATTCGTCAACTGGAAGAGAAATAGCCGAAGGGATTTCAATTTTGGGATCTGACAAATTGTGAACATATTCATATTTTTTAATAGGGCCATATTGGCGGCGCGAGTCAGTCCGCGAGGCCCTCAAAATCCAAACCTCTTCCTATTATATAAGGAAAGGAACGGCGGTTTTAATAACTACGGAGTAATAAATAAAAATTACTCCGTATTAGAAAAAGCGTCCAACTACTACATTTTACACAAAAAAATAATTAAACCTCTAAACTTTAGAAAAGTCTAATTAGACTCTCAAGCATGTTATCATCTTTGTGCAATTAATCTAAAGTCTAATTAGACTCTCAAGCATGTTATCTTTGTGCAATTAAATCCACCAACCGATTACCAACTTGTTATAGGCGGTCATTCTTATTTTAACGAATCTCTAGCCACAACCACTTCTAGTCGACTTCGCCAGAGAAGGCGACCATTTCGTCGATTTTTCCGGTAAAATTCTTCCAGAACAAGATAGATAGGAAATAAATGAGGTCAATGACACAAAATGACAGTTAAAGGTGTAATTTTTACGGGTAATATATTGGTTACCGGTAAATTTGACTTATTTGTTACATGTATTACACAGGTATGAAGAACTAGCTCACAGGGTTGATGAAGCATTGGGTTTCCCAGGACTGACTCTAGATCACCCTGCATCCACAGAATTCTGGACATCCCCATGAGTGCTTGCTGCTACTTTACGAGTAAAGCGCTTACTAGACTGGACTCAACTTCTGGTTAGTACTACGACTGCTCTGCTCTGCTCTGCTCACATGGTTTGGGTTGGGGAGCGTACACGACAACTCGATGGCACTCACTCACGTTGAGTTTTTGAGAGGATCAGAGTTGCTAATCCACTGGGCATAAACCAAAAGATGGATCCAAATTAAATGAGCTAGTTAATCTAATTCAGATCCTCAATCCAAATAACAAGTCTGGAAGAATCACAGTCATAGTGAGAATGGGTACCGAGAACATGAATGTATCACCAGTTAATGAATAGAAGTTGGTGAGTATGGATTCAAGAAATTCCAGAAGAAAATAAGCAATAAATTGTGGAGCAAGTTACTGGCTTCTCCATAAAGGGAGCACCAGGAGGGTCCTGGTTTACTGGTTTAGCCACTGGTGTATCTCTGATGAAGTGTGTTTTCTTTTTGAAGAGTGGGTGGGCATTTTAGAGATCCTTGTGCAATCAACATAAAGAAATGGTGGAATTTTCATCCCCAATCTTCTCTTGTGTCGTGCCCACTTTATGAAATCTAGATAAAAATTAAACTATGAATACTAAAGCAGTAACCAGTACCACTACTGAATACTGATGTTACCTAATCATAGCATTACCAAACCACAGTTGATTTATATATTCGAAAAAAAAAAAAAAAAAAAAAAAAACAAAATAGTTGTCAAAATCTAAATCAATGATTCTCCTCCAATTCAACAAGCACAAAAGTAAGTTTGTGGTTCAAAAGTATTTATGTATCTCAGTGTCTTTCACCTTGGCCTCCGGACGGTGGGATTCCTGTGACAGTAATAATTAAGAGGGATGTCATTCACCTTGGAATGTTGGTGCAAGGAAGGTCTAGGAAAATATTGAAGAGAAACTAACCCATACCCATATGGGGAGTAGAAATAATGTGGTACGCTAAGATGAGCAACATAAGGATTGAATCGCCTTGGACGATACTGCTTCATTCCTGGAATATTCTTCCTTTTGGGCATAACCTACAATAGTTTTAAACAATAACGATAAATTACTAAAGCAAACAAAGGTATGACACAAAGTCTAAATGATCTTAGGAATGCTTACTAGCTCCTATGCTGCAACTGCTTAATCATCACAGTACTAAGTCTAAATGAGTTAAGTGTGCCCATTCTGGAATTATCCATGAGAGTTTCCCAATTAGATTTCCTTTTATGTTGTTTACCATTTAAGTTACTACTGTGCCCCACTGCGCATGTTGATTGGGAGGGGGTAAGATTCCAATAGAAATAAAATTACCTTCAGTTGACGTCCATGCAGTTCAGATTCATTCAGCTGGAGAGCCAACTGAACAGATCCTTCTTCAAGAAATTCCACATAAGCAAAACCCTTAGGTTGGCCAAATTTATCACACAGGATAGTCACTCGATTCACAGTACCACAGTCTTGGAAATGCTGCTGAACTTCTTCCACAGTGCATTCATAATCAACCTGCCAGGTGATGTTTAGTGAAAATCAAAATAGGAAATTATATGTGATAAAAGAAAGTTAATCATGGGAATTTGAATTGGCATCTTATGCTCCAACTCTCAGAAATAAAGGACTTCTCTGATTAATGTATCATCTCATATTTTATTGGTCATTTATGGCTTGGGAGCCACAAATCTCAATCCTAAGCAACCTCTTGAATTGATAGCACATCAATATATGTTCGATGGTATCATTCACAGCCCAATTTACAGGTAAACAAGAATAAAAATCATTACAATAGCAATTTTCAAAGCATCTATTGTTTCATGTTGAAGTGGACTAGACAACCCTTTGGAAATCTTAATAGTCATATCAACAGCTATTATCTCAATTTTCAAACTTGAGTCATGATTCATCACAGTTTTTTCTCCATTTTTTCCCTTACCCCTTTGGACTAATGTCTTGCAGCCATGTATATGTAAAGACCACTGATGTGGGCAACTAAAGTAAGAATAATACAACTAAGCCAAAGGCAATAAGCACACCTCACCAGGCTAAAAAAGCTAGTAAATCTGAGACACCCACGCCCACTGGCTTTTTGCAGCAGAGAGACTTGGCAGAAATTGCATTGCCAATGAAGATGCTCTTCCCAAGGGAGAGATTTTCATAGCTTTCATATATTATATGTCATAGGTCTCCCTTGTGTTTTCTTTACTTTCCTCTCTTTTTTTTTTTTTTAATCTTACTTTGAATACTTTTCTTTTTCTTATTTTTCCCCATCCCTACAGGCATTTTTTTGGGGGACCAAAATCAGTCTTTTCACTCATTTGTATTTAGTTTTTTCTCTCCTTTTTCTTTTTCACTTTTTTCACAACTTTTACGAGCATGCTATTGACTCTCTCCCATCATCACATAATTAAGGCAACAATTCCAGGTGCTATTCAGTATAAGATGACCCTGCCATCATAGTGAGATTTGTCAAAACAAGACCCAAAAGAATGACCAAGTCAAACCAAAGAAAACGTAACAATTACGAGCAATGACTACAACACCTATTGGCAACTGCAAATTGAAAGAACACAGGTTTTGTGTAAACTGACCAGAATAAGCAATTGATACCTCGTTGCATAAACACACACAATGAAAAAAATAATAATAATTTTTGCAATTCAAACATGCCACAAAAAGAAAATCATACTCTTAATTGTTGTGGCAGCTTGTTACTTATAAGTGGTTTCATGTACTCTAGCTATCTAATCCATATTGTCAATGTTAACTCTGGAACTATGATGTCACAAACTTCTTATAATTGGTAATTCCTAATAAGCTTAAGTTTACTACTAATATCATTAACAAGTATTGCTTATGCATGTGGAAGGAGAAGAAAAGACCAAAAATCAACTGGATTAACAACACTTTCATTAACATTCTGTAAGTGTTCAGAAGAGAACTTGATTTCCAACATTTTTGTTCATCATGGCTCCAAAAATATTTCATTCCATTTAGAATTAAAGTTAGAGAAAATGTTAGAGAAAGGAAACATAAATTACCTACAATTAAACCAAGAAACCAGAAAAGTAATTACCAAAATCCATTAACCTAAATAACAACACAACTAGGTAGTGGCATAGAGAAACACTTATTCAGCATTAGTGTTATGAATTTTGTAAGCAAACCTATTCTTATGTTAAGCTTTTGGAGTGAAAGGTAATAAATAAATAAAAATTAGAAGATTGGGTAATGAAAACTCTAGTAGAAGATTACAAAGTGAATAAATGATACTCTCCATACAAAATAAATAAATAAATAAAATAAAAATTAGTGTTCATTCTAAACATTGTTGAAATGAACTGATTTATGCTTACATTGCCAACATAGATAGATCGTGAATCAACATCTTCCATACCATCCACTGTAGATGCTGCCTTTGCAGGGTCTGTGAAAGTAAATACGATAGCCAAAGTAGTTAATTATCATACATAAAAATAAAAGAGAGAGAGAGAGAGAGAGAGAGAGAAACAAAACAAAACCAAAAAAAAAAAAAAACAAGGAAAACAAAAAAAACAAAAAACTAAGTGCATAAATTCAAAAATATAAGTTTGAATTCCATAAAGCAAAATCCATGAATAGATTTTATCTAAACCTTTCTAAAGGAAAATGTGTTGGTAGCAATCAACTAACGAGACAAACAAGGCAATCTAAAAGAGAAAAAGAAACAAAAACAAGAAGAAAAAAATCATTTGATGCAGTGTAATTTTTTTTTATAATATATCTAAAGTTTAAAAAATCATAGAACATTTGCAGCCATTTGAACATCTCTAGATACTCATATATTAGTAAACCACAGAGA